ATTTCGTGCACATGAGGTGAGTGACCCATAGTGATCAGCTTATCACTGTTTCATTTCGTGCACATGAGGTGAGTGACCCATAGTGATCTGCTTATAACTGTTTTATTTCGTGCACATGAGGTGAGTGACCCATAGTGATCAGCTTATCACTGTTTTATTTCGTGCACATGAGGTGAGTGACCCATAGTGATCAGCTTATCACTGTTCTGGTACCATAAAGCAAGGGTAAATCCAGAAATTTGGGATCATTGTTGGTATCTGAGTAACTGCATACCTACCCCTTCCCCCTAACCCAACAAAGATTACCTGATAACAAGTTAGGGTAAATATTAGGTTAGGGGAGGGGAGGGGAGGGGAGGGGAGAGGTTGGTGAGAGGTAGCTCAGATACTGACAATGAGCTGAAATTTGTTAAAAGGGAGGGTCCAGCATTTTAGTTCAGAAAACAGATTCCTTTTTTTTTTTTAACTCTGTAGCCTCAATAAGCTTTAAGCAAATATTAAATACTTCATACTGTGCAGCAACATGCATACTTGTCATTGCAAGAATTTTGGCTTCAGACAAGCGGTAAAAAACACCATTGGTCTGATGGAAAGAGGGGTCCCAGCCTGACTCCCTTCCCCTGGACCCATGTGTTGTTAATCCTCCTGGGGAATAAATCAATCCACAACATATTTCCCTCTAAGTCCTTCATCATGTTTGCCTGCTATTTTGAAGTAACCCATCAAATAACAAAAGTTTCTAGCAGTTGGATACGTGCACAGTCAAAATTAACTCAGCCTTATTCAAGGATGAAAATGGATGGCTTAGCATGACACACAACCCAGTGCTCTCCTGTACCTACCCTCTTCCCTTAACCCTTTACTCCCTTTGATCATTAAAAAATTTTTCTATACTCTAAACATCTCCCATGGTACTGAAAAGGAGAACTTTTTCAATAAGCAGAAGCCTCTAAAGTCTGCAGTCGTTCCATTTATCCTTGTGATCATAATGCTTAATGAAGGGGTGATACTTTGGAGAGAAATAAGATGTAAGCTGCCTATTTGAAGAGGGTTAAGTCTATGGGGTAATGTCATCATTCGAGACCCTGTTCAACACCTCTTACCCTTATTTTGGGAAAGTAACCTGTTCCTCCTCAGATCCCCCTATCCCACCAAGGGAACTGTCATAACTTAGAGGAGGGAAGGGCGGAAAAAGCGGGTGAGACACCAAATTTTACACAGAGATACAAAGATGGGAGAACGGCATATAAATTTCTGCAACAAGTCAATGATTCTGAAATATTAATGTAAGCTTACATGTAATCTGGGATATCAAAACATTGAGTAAAGTACCAACAGATCTAAAAAAGCACCTTACTGCTAGCACTACGCGAAAAGGTGGGTTAAGATTGAGTCAACAGGGGATATCTAACTTTGTATCTGCCCTTCCCTCAGTCCGCCGCTTCTAATTAAGACTGGTCCCTAAATCACCTCCAACCCAGGACTTCAATCAGACGACCATAAAAACAAAAAGCGATTTCGAGTGATATACACTTGCGGGAAATTTTCCCTTATGTGAACACTACTTACAATCTTAAGGGTTGCTCTTCCAGCATTGCCTGCAGGCCTGATACTTCTTGGGCCTAGCTCGAAAACGGCCCCGTTCTCCGTAGCGCAACTTTGCATCCATCCGCCAACTCTCTCGCTAGATTCAAGAACTGTTATGTTATCCGGGTCCTTCACTTTATCCAGCAAGTGATAAGCGGCGGCTAATCCGGATATTCCTCCACCGAGAATGGCAAATTTTCGTGATGAAAGCGATATTTGCCCCGCACAGGTGACCGCCATGTTGGAAGGGTGATCTGGTACTGCTATGATTTTTCCGCTGAGTACTCACAGGCGGGCTCATTTTATAATTCTGAAATTTTTTCAGTCATGTGCTTTTCAGGCATAATTTAGGTGAATATATTTAGCTTCTCGCAAGTTCTAGTGTCCGAAGTTTGTGTTTCGATACGAAATGTGAAAGACTCCAAAGCTCTGAGATGGTTAGTTTAAGTGGAGACCGAGGAAGCGGGGTAAGATATTTTTTTCCACATCAGCAGTCGTTATTCTTAAATACTCCGGTGTTGATCACCTGAAAGTAACGAGTGTTTCATATGTATTCTACATCTTCCATTTGTGCTTTCGTTCATTTTAGTTTTATATGAAAAATAGAGAGCTAAATGTATTTCTTGGGTGGTGAGGAAGATACGCACGCTAACATTGTCGCAATCAAATACATTTCCACTCATTTGATCATGATGGTTTAGCTTGTCACACGTTAGGTGAAGTACATGAATCAATTTCACTAGCATAAATTATTGGTAGAGAATAAGAAACAGACTAGACATATGTAAAGCTATCTCACTGGTGAACAAACAACAGCGAGCAGATACTAAAGTTTTTGCGTGCTAACTAGTTGTTTAAATCTTTTTCACTTTCGTTCATCCGTCCCTCGCTCGATTACAAGTAAAGCAATTCTTGGTTCTCACCCACGTGACCCCTAACTTGACAACCGTTGCTATCCGCCATGATTGTGTCCCTCAGGTGTAAACAAAAAGTAGCATGAGAGAGAGTGAATGCAAGAAAGTGTCACGGTTCTTTGTATTATTGGCATTTGTGGAAGCAAAAGTGGTCAAGATAGCATTGGTTTTTATTCT